GGAGTTGCCGTATTGAAGCTCTCCAGGTGGCGAGCTACGTCCAAGCTGGTGTGTGATGGAGCTCATGGCTATCGCTGAGAGCCTCGAATCCTTCGAAATACCGTACAATTTGCCTGTTCGTCGGCCTACGAAATAACCGCTTTGATTTCACATTTACGATCATTGCTCTGCCCACTTTTTATCACTTGAGTGGGACTGAAGTATTCCATAGACTTCTTTGGGCGTTCCGCCACAACGGTTTTGAAAGTAACGTACTTTCTTACTGTATCATAGGCATTCTGGTGCTAAGACCGACGTGGCTAAGCCTAAGTGGCGAAGGAGGCCTACTATACGTATACTGGATTGGAAACCCCAACAAGTAAATCAAGTAAATACAGCTATTTAAGGAACAAGATGAATACAGAGGTGAAACGATATAACTCATCTGAGCCGCAGGAACAGGTACATACGGAATACGAGAATTGCTACCCACAATGAGAATTTGCGCGTTCTTTAAGGCTTGCTCTCCTCACACTTTTTCTTCTTTCTCTTCTTGTTCTTTATGTGCCAGAAGAAGAATACTTAGGTCACTAGTCAATGTTCAGTTGGATATAAAAAAGTCTTTTCCTCTATGGCAATCAGCAAGAGAAGGTTTTTATGGAACATTTGCCAGGTTTTGTTGCTCAAGAGTAGTATGGTCTCCTATTACGCCCCTAACTACTTGGCCAAAACAATCTCCACATGCATGGTTTGGGTGGTTCAGGTTCACTACATACACAAATGGATATATCACATGTTCCAAGACATTAGATCCGATCTTTTATTATTAATTTTCTAATAGATACATCACATGGATGGTAGACAAATGCTTTGTTTTGTTGTGATGATGTGCGCCTGTCAACTGGCCGGGTTTAGATGCAAATCTGGCCCTTGTGTAACATCCTACCCAAATTTGGAACCTGTTAGAGTAATCTCAAATTTGGTGGATCTTGATATGATATTAGAACTTAAAAAACTGAGTTCAAACTTGGTGGATTCAGGACCTGTTAGAGTAATCTCAAATTTTTGGATCCAGGTCTGGTATTAAAAATGATTTCAATGATTGATCTGAATCACAAACTTTTGGTTTCCATCTATTGACAGATTGTCCCAATGTTTGTCTAGCATATTTATTGTTTCTCCCTGTCTTCTTAAATTTGAATATCTGTTATTCTAAATTTTGGCTGAAGTATTTTGTTGCATTGAATGTTTACAGTTCTATGACAATACCCCATTTGTTTTGTGAAAGGGCCGTCACTTTAATAACTTTTTTAATTGTTTTGTAGATTTATGGATTCTCGTGGATTGTGCTTATTGGTATTGTAATGATCTTCAAGGTATTATTACTTGTAAAAACTTTTATTACTCTGTCCAATGATTGAGCCAAAGTTTTGAGGTAGAATTTTCTTTTGGCATTCCAGATATTCACATTTAGCCCCAAGAATTCCACCAACTTCCAGCTCATGCTTCGGTTCATTCAAGGAGTTACTGCATTGGGTCTTGTTGCTGCCATCTGCATTGTCATTGCCTTGACTCGCCTTTCTATTGCTGATTTATTTGCTAGTGTCCTGGCATTCGTTGCTACAGGATGGGCCCTTATTTGTGTAAGTTTAACGATTGCTTTGTCCACTCATTCCCTACCAAGTCCAGCCCCCCTCTAATGATAGAAAAAAACTCCCTCGGTCCTAGTGTGTTTGTCGAGTTTGAGTTTTTCGAGTCAAACTGAGTGAACTTTGAGCTTCAATTCATCAAAAATTGTAATGTATATTAGTGTAAAAATGATTATACTAGATTAAGAGTAAACTTTCAAAATTTAATAAACTTTCGAAATTTAATTTTATTGTACTAATATGCGATACAAATTCAGAGTAATTGAAGCTCAAAGTTTTTTGGTGCATGATTATTTCATGCCATCTTCAATCATTTCAATCACTTGTGGAGTAATAATTGTACTGCGATTGACTGGATAAGTGATCGGAAGGACAAATGGTGATTGATTATAGTCGTGCACAAAAATGGAAACTCGGACCAGATGCAGAAATGACCTCATACTCATATAGGAGAGTATGATTTCATAATAGAAACATCTAATACATATCTTCTTTGCATGAAATGGATGCAGTTGGCCATCACATGGAAGAGGGTGGTGAGAAGTTTAGGGATGTGGGATTCTGTTAAAGAGTTTGCACGAATGTACGATGCGGGAATGGGAATGGTCATCTTTGCCCCTATAGCAGTTCTGTCGTGGTTTCCCTTTGTGTCTACCTTCCAGTCTCGCATTCTCTTTAACCAAGCGTTCAGTCGCGGGTTGGAGATCTCGCTCATTCTTGCTGGGAACAAAGCCAATATTGAACCCTCTGCTTTTTAGTGAACTACTTGAGACCTCATTCTTGCTGCCCTTCAAAGCTATTGTTGAGTTTGAAAAGGACTGATGGCTGTTGACCCTTGTGATCCTAACTTATGTATTACTATACAATTCTTCTTTTGGAAACCAAGGGACTTTCTTTTTATCTCACTTTGTAATTTTTTTTTCTTTCCAAAATTTGGATTGTACATAAGCATTCATTTTGATTGGCACTTGGCAATGGTGATTGGTCCAATTTTCTGCTTATTTTTCTTTCTTTTTGTTTTCCTTCCAATTTCACCAGAGGTGGGTCCAGTACTTGATCTGTGAAAAATACCCAATGCCATCCTCTCAACAAGGGGGTAAAAAGCAAAATACACCCTCAAAAAGTAGAAAAAAGCTAAAATGCACCCTCACTTTTTTTAAATATCTTAACCCACCCTTAAAATGTATTGTTACTTCCACTTAAGCCTAAACATCAAACGCCGTTAAAATATTCAATCATCGGGTTGGCTGTTTGGTTGGTCAGTCCCTACTCCCTTCTGGCCTTTCTCTGTCAACTGGGAATAGTCCACACTAAAGAAGAATAAGAAGAAGAGCCCGGGGAAGAACGGTGCCTGAATAGTTGATTAATTTTGTTGAAGTTCTGTTCATTTGTTAAATCTAATTGGGAGTCGCGTTCTTCAGATTGCAAGGCTTTCATTTCCAATCGAATCATATCATCTGCGACTTGTGTTTAGGTATGGGTTTGCTTCTCTCTCTCTTTCTCTTTCTCTTTCAATTCCTGCGAATTCGATTTCAATGAATTCGCCTGCGAAAAGCTGTTCAGAACTAGGAGAAATGGTTTTGGGTGTTCCAATAATCTGTGTGTAGTACTTCGTTGCTAAGTATCTTGGATTTCCAATAATCTGTGTGTAGTACTGATTTCCAATAATCTGTGTGTAGTACTGATTTCCAATAATCTGTGTGTATTTTGCTTTTTACCCCTCAACAAGGCGTTCTACCTCTTGCTTCTGTATTCATTTGGTTTTAAGCTAAGTGTTTGTTCGGCAACAGTTTCAGCCTTTACACTATGTTTGCTTCAAAAAATTTGAAAGGGAAAAGAAAAGAAAACGAAATGGAAAATAGTTTTTTTGTTTGGTTAGAGAGAAAAAAAAAGGAAAAGTTGAAGGAAAAGAAAATGATAAGGCAAAATGTATTAAGTGGAGGGAAATGCAGATTCCTTCCATTTTGATGAGGAAAATGATAGAAAATCGTTTTCTTTTCTTTTCTTTCCAAATTCTTTGAACCAAACATAGTGTTAGTATTTTAAAAAAGTTAACTTTAGAATTTTCAAAAGTAATTTGCACCAATTAAAAATTATTCAGAACATTAACACTAATTGAAAAAGTTATTCCCTTACAAGGCCTAAATCAGTGATATCCTTTATGGCTAATATTTTGCAGAGTGTTTGGCAAAAATTTAAGTGCTGAGCTTTATTATTTTGAAAATGTTACATAAATATAGTACTCTTTCTGTCTCTATTTTGATTACAATTTACGCAAAATAAAGGAAAATTATAAACAAAAATTATCAGGATTTTGAAATAGTATGCATTGTAATCAATTGTGGGATGGAAAGAGTATTTAATTATATACTTTAAAATTTAAAGTGTTTATATATTTTTAAAATTTTAAAGCAAAATATAAATTAAAGCATTTTAAAATTTTTAAATATTTCAAAATTGAGTATATGAATAATAAAACTATAATTCTAAAGTAAAATGTTACAAAACATGTGTACAAAAATTGAAAAATAAAATAAATGTAATGTTTTGAAATAAAATTTGTATGTATTTTAAACAAAGACAAAATAATTTCATTTTATAAAGTAAATGTATTAAAAATTATAAATACTTTAATTTTGATATATATAAGAGTTACACTAATTGAATTGGAACATTTATGGTGCTTCAATTACAAAATTGATTGTTTCTAACTCTTTGCCTCACTCATCAGTCATCCCTAAGAGAAATGTTAGTGTCACAAACACTTCGATCACAAAATACACAAATTTACCATTTGTGTATTTAAATGTTTACTTTTTAATTATTCAACATCATTTTATTCATTTAGTTAGGTGCACAAATAGCAAGATTGTGTATTTTGTGACCAAAGTGTGACTCTAGCATTTCTCCATCCCTAACGCACTGTCGCACCTCCGCCATTTGCACGATCCAAACTTTAGGAAAAAAATGAACTCTAAGGCTAGGCCGGAAGCGTTTGTTCATAAAATAGTAGATTGATCTTACAAATCAACACAAGTCTTTCTCCTCATTTTGTCCTCACTTGTGCTCGTTCTAAGAATTTCCTAGGGGTCCTCCATCCTAGAATTGCTCCATATATATCTTGCACGCAAACTTTGGAGCTTCTAAGTAATGAGCTCTTGAAAAAAATGAATCTTGTTGGTATGAATAGTAGTATCAATTCTTTTGAGCTCTTTCCAGCCCATGTTAACACGGGGTATTACATTCACCCCACTTAGTAATGCAACGTCCTCGTTGCACCCTTTTCAAGCTCTGAGATCTCTCCCGCTATTTGAAATAAGCTCGTTGGCCCGTCATGGTCGTAGGGTTGCTTTGATAGCATTTGTAATACCCTAACCTCCACCTTAGTTGTAAGTGTCTACTCATAGGATTGTAAACTGACCTCACAAACCAACTTACACTACAAGAATTTGTCAAATCTGCAATGGACAAATTTTGTCGCGTACACTTTATCCTCACTCGTGCGCCTTAAATGAATTTCCCATACATCCTAAAATTATACCAATGTCCGGCATGCTTATCTTTGAAGTTTTTTAAGTGATGAGCTCTCGACAAGATGTATTTTGTTGGTATGAGTAGTACTAAAAATCTTTTTGAGCTCTTTCAATTCAACGTTAACCCGGGATATTAGAGTGCATTATTAAGGATGAGTCGAGCTGGGGGTTAAGGTGGTAAGAACAATTAATGTTTTTATTAGGGCAATGTATGTGTGTCAATTAAATTGGTGTAACAATCTTACATTATAAAGTGGAGTAATATTACCCCTTCTCATATATATTTTATTTACTTTTAATTTAGAAATCATGATACATACCGAGTATAACTATATAACGAATTGGGTGAACGTATAAATAGTTATTTTGACGGATGCACATGCAAATAAAATTCTAAACAGATCAAATATAAGATTATTAAACTTGCATCCATTTTCAAATGAATGTCCTTTATCAGACATAATTTCGAATTTTCTATTACTACCTCCGTCTCAGAGTATTTGTCCACTTTCATTTTTACACACCATCCAATACACTTTTTTAATCCATTTTATCTTGTAATTTGTATATTAAAAAATTATAGAAATTATATATTAATAATCTATATCTTAAGACAAAACAAACAAGATCACACATGACTATATTTAGGCTTACACATTGAGAGAATTTGATGAGTCAAAGTGCTTAGATGAACAGTTCCAAAAGTCAAAACTGGACGAATACTCCGGCACGGAGAGAGTATTTATTTAGAGCCTTAGCCACTGATGGTACTCCTTCCATCCCAAATAAAACTGCATATTTATTATTTATTTAATAAAATAATATATTAATGTCACATCTTTTTTAGAAAAGTTTTTATGTTGTTTTTAAATATATAAATTTTATTTTTTAATTTAATCCTTATTCTTAAATAATTTAAATTAAAAATAATTCTAATCAAATATAATAAATGAAACGGTGGGGTTCTAGTGACACTGGAAAACGGTGCCACTAGGTTTTTGGGACACCTCCGGTGCTCCGTTCGTAAAATTGACGATTTCTACCCCCTAACCCGCCCCCTAAACCCCTCAACCCTACCCCCACCCCTGCACCCCCATCCAACCCCACCCGTAAGCCCCCCACAAAATGTGTGGCTATTATGCAATGCATAATAGCCACACATTTTGTGGGAGGATTGCATAATAGCCACACATTTTGTGGGGACTTACGGAAGGGTTGGGGTGGGGTGCAGGGGTGGGGATAGAGTAAAGGTTTAGGGGGTGAGTTAGGAGGGATATGAACCGCCAATTTTACGAACGGAACACTGGAGGTGCCCAAAAACCAAGTGACACGAGTAGCACCTTTCTCGGGTGTCACTAGAACAAGACCTTAAATGAAACGTAGATATTAAAATTGGAGAGAGGGAATAGAATTTAGGCAAAAACTTCCAAAGATGTGATTAGATAAAGAACTTAAAAAGATGCCCATAGCGCTTGGGAGCATGGGAAAGGTGTTAATGATCCCATCCAAACGAGCGCCCTATCAGCTCTCCAAGAGATCAAATCACTCTCCGTATAAACTGTACTTTGCTTCAGCGCTGCCGCTAAAAACCATTGATTCTCCATTTCCCTGTTTCTCTGAATCTCTCTACTCGGACTCGGAACCCATATAGAGCGATTCTGTTTATCTTGGCCCTGCTCATGGCCAATTCTGCCGTCTCTCAGGTAATGCTGAGATTTGTTTAGCAGAGCGAGTTCACTTTTTTTTCCTTTAATTTTTGTTTGATTAATTTTAAAAAATCCGATGAAATCCTTGCAGAATCCGGTCGCGGTCTCTCTAAATCCAGATTTCTCCATCCGACGATCCGTATTTAAGGTTTTTAAACCCACTGTCTTCTTGCTCATTCGTTCTCTGCACGGAACCAAAATCAGTCGTGTTATTGTTGTTATTTACTCCGTATTATGATTTGAGGAAAAATTGCAAATTATAATGTTCTGTAACTTCTGGAATTTATTGAATTCGTTGCTTTTCTAGTTTCATGGCTTTATGATCCAAAATAAGGTTTCTTTTCGTTAAAATCTGAAATGTGCTGTGGAGATTAGGGAGAAACCGTAGGGGTTGTGACTAAGGGGGCTTTAATGTATTGAGTCTGTAATCCTAGAATTTTTTCATATTAAAGCCCTGAAATTAGAACTGTTAGTAATGTTAGATCTCAACTTAACTATATGCACATCTTCGGTTTTGTGTTTTATGTTACATATGAACGATACTCCCTCTCTTCCAATTTGTCAAGCATATTTTCCTTTATTGTCCGTCCCAATTTACTATGCATGTTTCTGTTGATAAAAAACATCACGTGGTTTATTTTTTTTTTCTGCTCTCATTTGCGTAATTTTCAACCACATAGTTTTGACTTTATTATTCTTTGTGTTCAGACAAAGTAGGCATTACAAATTATACAGAGTAAAATGGAATGG